GTTTGTGTTCTCGGCTTCGCTTCGCGTTCAGCCACGTTACAGAGGCGCTGTGCCTGGCGATGCTTCGTTTGCCCAGGGCTCCCGCAACGAACCCGAGTCAGTTCAGCCAGAGTAGCAGAGAACACGCACGGACTCTTTTCCTCGTCCTGATTTTAACGGTGAAATTCGGCTTCATGAATTTCGGCTTCCTCTGAAGCCACACGGACTCTTTGTGTTTGCTGCGGCAAGCGGCTAATTGTGCAAAAGGGAAGAAGTTTCCGTCTTTAAGGTGAGGAAGGGGAGTCCCTGGGGTGGGGGTTCTCTTTAATCAGATACTCCGTGGGTCCGCTACAGGGAAAACGCGGTTCACTTCAAAGAGCGGAGCTGCTGGCTGCACGCCGCTCGTGCATGCACGAGGAGTGGGCTCAGGTGGGTGGTTGTCCTTGGGAATTGCTTTTAAGTGGAGCGTTTGTTGGTTTGTTCTCTAGCAGGAGCTGAAATGACGGGAAAAAATGAATTAAGGTCACTTTTTTTGAGCGGTTTGGTGCTCAGGGTCATATCTTGGAGGAAAGCAGCGAGTATGGGAGCCGCTTCGGCACGCGGCCAGCTCGGCCGTCAGCAGGTACCGTCCGTGGCGTTCGCTGTGTGTAGGATGGCAGCGCCTACACCCCTCCCGACAGATTTATTGTGGCCCAGGGGCCCTTTTCACTGCAACAGCTCCTGCGTCCGCTGCCCGGGCAGGAGCCCTCCGCTCCCTCTGGGCCTCGCGCCTGCCCGAGCTCAGCTCCCCCCACCCCAAAAATTTCCCGCCCCCCTTGCCGTGCTGGCGAGATAACACAAGTGCTACTTTAGGTTTTTCCAAAAGCTAAAGAATAGCCGAATACCTGTGTAGTTTATTCTTTACTTTTTTAGGTTTTTTTTTAATTTTCAGTGACAGGCTGTGTAATCAGCTCTGGGGGGGTGGTACGTAGGCATCAGACTTTTAATAATGTTCTCCTTTGTTTTGTGCCAGTTGGAGGTTAAATTAAGCCGCCCAGCAGCGCACGGCCAGTGAAAGGGAAGGGGGAGGAAACACCTTCACGAATTGGCTTTCCCAGCACGTCCTTGCCACGAGCCCTTCTCCCCGGCGGCAGACGGACCCTGGAGATCAGCAGTTCCGCTCCAGAGCGAAGAGAATTATCCCTTGAATTCACCCCAGTTAAAGTGGGCAGCTCGCTACCCCAGCTCGGTGAGGGGGGCAGAGGAGGGGCTGGGCTCCGCGGGCAGCTGGACCCACGCACGGAAACCGTGGGGCTGGAACCTGCAGAGACTCCGGCCGAGGAAGTCCCTGGGCGGCACGTGGCTGCGGCACGG